CAAACTCATCACCTGTACACTTGAAACCGGCACATTTTATTGTGTGTAAACACTTTAATAAATAAAAATGACGGGGAGAAAAAGGTGGGACTGCCCACCCAGCACAGGCAAGTCTCAAACTCATTCTGCTGACGAGACAGCCGGACCAGAGTGTAGACAGCCTGACTCTGTTTACGTGACGGACAAAAGTATCCAGAGGACAGAAAGCAGATCCGAGGCTGCCCGCGGCTGGGGGTGGGGGAGGGGATGCCAGCAAAGGGGCGCAAGGGCCTCCAGGGTGACGGACACGTTCTCCATCTGACTGTGCTAATGGCACCACACCCAGATCTCAAATGGGTAATTTCATACCCGTGTCACCGAGGTATGTAAGTTACACCTCAATAAAACTGGTTTAAGAAGAAATCTCAGGGTGTTTGGGGGTGTGAGGGTTAAACGTGACACTGCATGGAAGCTGAGGCCAGGGAGCCAGGGGGGCCGCCCCTGGAGGCCCTCAGGGATGAGCCCCAGATGTTGCCTGGGGTGCCCGGCCAGCCCTCAGGGCAGCCTCCGGGGTATACAGTGGGACAGACACACTGGCGCTGGCACCTCCTTTGCCTGGCCTGAGCTGCCAGGATGCTGCCTTAAAAGAGCGGGAACCCCCCGAGTCTGGGCAGGCTGCCCCCACCTGGGCACCACTGTAGTCAGGCCAGGGGTTGTGCTGGGCTCTAACGGTGCGGACGCTCCTGGCCCAGGGCAGGAGGCAGTGTGGGTGGCGGGGAGTGGGGCTTGCAGAACCCATCCTGACTGCTCCCTCTCTGTGGGACCCCCAAGCGACAGCTCGTGAGCTCTGAGCTGTGGGTGGGAGCAGCCGCCAACCCGGCTTCCCAGAGGCTCTGCTGGAGGGACGCCCTGCCGTGCGGAGGGGGAACGCTGCAGGCTTGGCCCGCCCCCTGTAAGATGGGACAGCAGCTGCTCTGACCTCACAGGCCATGCTGGGAAGGCCTGGCCCGGGGCAGGGCTCTATCCTCCCGCGTGCAGGAGCCATCTGAGGCCTCTGCTCAGAGCGACGGAACCCGGAAACAGACATGCTGCCGCGTGCCAGGACCCCCTCCCGCACACCACCAGGGTCCGTCCCACGTCCAGGCGTGGGGACAGCGGGCAAACCCGGAGGGGAAGGGAGAGCAGGGCCACACAGGGCCACCAGCTCACCGGCCACCAGCAGGGCACCCCGCGGCGGTCCCCTCCTGGGAAAGGGTGAAGGTGGAGGCTCGGGGCTGGTGCGTAAACACCTAGGTGGGCCTGTGGCTCAGAAGCCCATAGGGAGCACATCCGCCTGCGGGATTCAACATCTGCCCAGTGAGGGGGGCGGGCCTGGAGGCCAGAAGGCGGTCGGAACCGCAGAGACCAGGGGAGGGGGGCCCGGGTTGGCGTGGGAACCTCCCCTCCATGCCCTCTGTCGTCTGATCCCCGCACCCCTCAGCCTCACTCCCGGGCCGAGGGGCAGCCTGCCCCGACGGTGGCCCCCCGCCACGATGAAACACCACATCAGAGTCCAGTCTGGTGTCTCTCTGTGTCCACAGCAGGCAAGGGCAAGGGACTATGCCCATCCTGGCCACCACTGCTCGCAGCCTGTGGATACAGGTGTGCCCAAAGAGCGTGAACAGGTAGAGACCATGGGAGCGGACCCCTCACGGCAGGGGGGTGCCCTCTGTGCCCTGCCCACCCCCGGAAGCAACACCAAGCCCCCCAGACCCAGGCTGCCTTGACGGGGCGGCCCCTGGCTCCTGCCCCACTCCCGGCTAGAGGCTGATGTGCAGAGAGATGACCACCGGCTCTGGGCCCTGCGGAGCTGAAGCGCGAGCTGCCCTGAGCCCCAGGGTCAGGGGCTGAGCTCACTGCGATGTGGGGTGAGTCTGATCGGCCCCATCATGGTTAGGGCCTTCCCAGTGGCACCTCTCCTAACCTAACCAATTGGAAACCACCCAATATCCTCCAACAGGGAAGTGGGTAAATCAACCACGGCATCTCCACGAACGGACGATGACACAGGACTTGGACAGAATGGAGGAACACACAGGATGGAAACGGGAAACCACGCGGGGGCTGCTGCGGGGAGGGATCCAGAGTCCATCCACTCATATGTAACATTCAATTCCTCGATTTCCACAACAAGAGGCCCATCACGTGGGAGCTGCTGACAGCTCTTCACGGGGATGAGGGTGGGGACGGGGTCTCCAGTGCAGGGCTCTGCGTCTTTCGCTTTCCTGCACACGGCGTGCTGGAGAGAAGACCCCTGAAGGTCACTCAGGCCACCCCCTCCCTCGGCAGGTGGGGAAACCGAAAGGAGAAGGGACTCCTGAGAACCCTTATGCACCAGTTCACCTTAGAACATTCCGGATTCCACCAGCTCGAGAGCCCTGCCCAATCCCTGTCCAGGCCCCGGCACGGGGCACCTGGCTATTCGGCTGTCCACGCGGGGTGTGAGGATGCCCCCTGGCCAGACCAGGCCAGCACAGAGGGAGCCTGGGGTATGGGAAACCAGCACCCAAGGAGCAGCCAGCCTTTGGGGACGGGCCCCTCTCTGCCGGCCCGGCCCCCACGGACCCTCCCCCCAACCCTCTTCCCAGCGCGCCAGGTGCCCAGTGATGCCAGCGACGTCACTGCCGATAACCTAGATTTTAACCAAGAAATCACACACCCCCTCCCTGCCCCACTTACGGGCTCAGGGAGGACAAAACCCAGACCGGAGCCTCCCAAGTCCTGTTGAAGACGGGCTCCCAGGCCACCGCCCCCAGTCTCGCAGCTTCCCTCCACCCCGTCCCACCTCCAACGCTCCCAGGGATGTGGGATGAGGGGCTCACAGGCCTTGGCTGACCTGTGCCCGGCCCCAGTAGGACCCCGCAGCTGGTCTCAGTGCGGGAGGGGCTGGTGAGAAAGCCCAGTCACAGACAAGGCAGTGGGGCAGCTCAGTCTCCCAAGCCACACCCTGGGCTGTCCACGGCCACCTCCCTTGGCTCCTTGGAAAATCCAAGGGTGCAGGTGGGCCACAACTGTCCAGGTGAGGAGGGGGTCCAGGCTCATGCAGGCAGAGGGGCAGGTGCCCTCAGACGGGCTACTGCCCTGCACCCACACCCAGCAATCCCAACACCTGTGGTGTCTCTCACCGTCTCGTACACACCAAGGCCCGAGGCCACACTGGCGGGAAGGGGGCCATACAGGGAGGACCCTGGGGTGACACGCGAACTAGGGTCCTCTCCTGGTTCGGCATTGCACCATCAGGGACCACCGTTGGGCAGTCCCGCCCCTGGGCCCTCAGCAGATTCTGTCCTGACCCCTCCATTGAGCCCTGTCCAGCTGCTGGCATTGGCGGTGGGGGGCGGTCCTGCGGGGTTTGCCCTGAGCCCGTGTAGCCTGTTTTCCTGGGGAAGGGGCTTGGGAGCCACCCCAGCTCCCTCTGGCCCAGTGTGGGTGCCAACGGATCTCTCTACCCCCTGGGGGCTGTCAGGGAGATGGCAGGGTCAGGCAGAGGAAACTGCACACGGGTGGTCCCCGGGGTCCCGGCCAGGCCTAACCCACACCAGAGCTTGCGGGTTTCTTGGTGTCAGGAACACCAAGCCCTCCCCGCTACCACTAAGAGGAAAAAACACAGTTCAGACAGAGGTGGTCTGTGTGCTAGTACCCTGCGCAATTCATACAAATATGACAAAACACCTTCAAATAAAGTCATGAGCCCTGGGAAAACCAAGGCCCAGGGCCCCTGGGGGGAGCTGCCCAGGGCAGTGCCTCCCCCACAGCTCTGAGCGGGACCCTGAGAAGGGCCCACGACGGCCAGACCAGAGACCGAAACCCAGCCGCCCAGTGCCACATGGGGACCGGCTGTCCCAAGGGCCCGAGCTGGCCAGTGCACCAGGCTCCCTCTGCTCCCACCCCCCAGGACTAATGGACCAGTGCCCGCCTGGAGGCGGAGGAGTGGAAGGGGGAGGGAGAGGAGGGGCAGCGTCGGCCCCATTAGGGCGCAAGGACGTGGTGGATCTCAGGGGCGGAAAGAGCCCCCAAACTGCCCTTTGGGGCCCCAGCTCAGGGATGCCACTTCCCACTGGCAGCATGCATCCGGGCCAGTCACTGGACACGGGCCCCGCATGCAAATCAGGACAGGCAGCGGGCCCAGGCACACAGCCAGTTTTCGGGGAACACAGAAGGCAAGGGGACACCTGACCTGGGGCCTCAACTACGGGACCCTTCACGCAGCAAATCCTGAACCATCTCTGGCGACTGTGATGCAGTTTATAGGCAACACCAGGCATCGCAAAGCAGTGCGTGTTGGGCTTATAGATCCCAAATGCGGGAGTCCCCCTCCCCCAGAATAAGTTGGTGGGCAGCACGTTCAGCTCAAGAGGCACTCTCTGGCTGGCCACTTGGTGCTGGCCCCAGGGAGACGGCCGCGACTGGGAGGGCCCAAGGGACTCTCTGACCTCCCTGAGTCAGAGGGAAGGCAAAAGCACATGGGTGGGGAAAGGACTGAGGTCAAAGGCAGCGAAGACGGGCCTGCTGGGGCAGGCACCTCAGCGACAGGGACACTGAGGCCTCAAGCAGATGAGTGACCAGTCTGGGTCACACACTGCCCTGTGAGCCCTCAGGCAGGTCCCTGGTCCACTGAGGCCCTCAGTCTCTTCATCAGTCCGGTGAAAGCCGGGGCTCTGTCCCACACGCTACGCTGCAGCTGAACTTTCCCGTGGCCTCTCATCTCACCCAGGATGAGTTTAGAGTCCCCAGCTAAGGCCCTGCAAGACGGACCTGGGTCCTGCTCCTGTCTCGGGTGTCAGCTGCTGCCAGCTCGTCCAGTCTGGGCTGGGGACTGTCCCTGTACCCCTGCAGCACAGTGCCCCCGGGCGTGTCCGTCTCCCTGCCAGGCTGTGAGTGCCCCGGGGTAAGGCCAGGTTGGCCTCGGTGCCCACACAGGCGGTGCTGGGAGGTTTGCCCGTGCCGGCCGGGAGGCGGCCGCGGTGGCGGGTGGGGATTACCTGCATAGCTGCCCGCGGCCTTGACGTACATGTGGCCGTACTGCTCCTCCGCCATGGTGTCATAGGCCTCATCGTCCTCGTCATCCTCCTCGTTGTGGTAGGAGGTGGGGCTGTCGGTGGTGGGCAGGCTGCTGGCCCCCGGGCTGGTCCGCTCCCCCTGGGAGTACTGCGCCTGCTGGATGCTGGGGATGAGGGTGGCCAGGCTGGGCACCCCGTAGTAAGAGACCCGGGGCAGCTTGAGTGGGGCCGTGCCTGCCGCCACCGCGGGGCCCGTCGCCGCTGCCGCGCCGTCCCGGGCCCCCGTCTCCAGCGGGCGCTTGGGGGCCAGGCCTGGGCCCGCGGCCAGCGGCAGCTCCACGGCTTCGTGCTTGACGCGGGTCAGCAGCGGGATGGGCACGGAGGGGGACACGACGTAGGGGGGTGCGGCGGTGACCGGCTGCAGCTGGTTGCAGGGGCTCTGGGGCTCGGAGCTGGCGTCCTCGATCATAGCGGTCTGCGAGTCGCAGTGGGGCGAGCTCACCTTGAACATGAGGTCCGTGCCGCGCTCCACGATGTGCTGGATCTGCAGGAAGCCGGCCGTGTACATGACCACGAGCTGCTCGCTGGCCGCCATGGTCAGCCTGCCCGTGTAGCAGAAGGACAGGATCTGCTGGAAGCAGGCGGGCGGCACGGTGCCCGGCAGCTCGAAGGCGCTCTTGCTGTTGCCACTGAACAGGTCGCGGAAGTAGAGGCTGCTGGCGGCCAGGACGGCCCGATGGGCCTTGAAGGCCTGGCCCTTGACCACAATGGACACATCGCAGTAGAGGCCCAGCAGACGCTGCTCGTTGAGGCAGCCGAGCACGGTGTTCCCGAAGTTGGGGATCTCGATGTGCAGCATCTGCGACATGGCGGGCGGGGGCGGCGGGGCGCATCTGCGGGAGAGAGGGCGCGGGGCGCCGCGGTCAGGGTCGGGCTCCGGACGTCCGGCAGCCCCCTGGCAGGGCCGGGCCCCGCACCACCCTGCTCTGCCACAGTGCCCGGGCCCCCCTGCGGGGCACCCCCAGACCCTCCAGCCGCCACGAGCCAGACCAGGTCTCGCCGCAGACCCGGCCGATGGTGGGACCCTGGCAGGGCTGTCAGTGCCGCCCAGGATACTAGAAGTCCCAGCTGGGTTTCCAGCCGGGGTAGGGGTGTGGGGGCCCCCCACACCACCCCGGGACGCTCCCAGAGTCCACCCGGCAGAGCGTGTAAGCCCTCGGGGCCGAGAGACACCCCGTCCTGGCAGAAGACGAGAGCAGGCCTGCAGGCGGCGGAGGACGGGAGGACGGGACGGGGCGGTCCACCCACAGCACTGGAGGGGCGAGGGCGGCAGGCCCGCGTCCGCACAACTCTTTTCCCAGGAAAAAGTTAGCAGCAAAGGAGCCCCTTGCCGCCTGTCCCCTGGGAGGGGCCCGAACCCGGAGCGAGGGGCAGGGCACCGCGGTGTGTGTGGCCGGGGTCTCGTGGCGGGCGGTTTCTCGGAGGCTTTGCTTTCGGTTTGCTTTTCCCCTTTTCCCTAGAGCAGCCGTGCAGAGGGCCCGCCAGGGGGGGCATTCTGCCCCGCCGGCTGAGAAGCCGCCCCTTCGGCCCTCGGGAGAGGCGGGCAGGAGTGGTTGCCCAGGGAAGTGAGCTGAAGCTGGGAGAACTCAGCCTCTCCGCCGCCTCTGCTCGTCCTCCAGGCAAAGGAGACCTCGGGCCAGAGGTGCTCCGAGCCGCGCCCGGCTCCCCCAGCCCGAGCTGCCTCGGGGACCCGGCTGCCAGCCCAGGAGTTGGGACCCTGTCGCAGCTCCACCTGCGCGCCCTCCCGGCACCCCCAGCTCCCGATGCCGGCCGATCCCTGCTGGCTCGCTCCCAGCCCAGGTGACTAAAGGGGTCGTGGGGAGACAGGGGAGGGCCGAGCAAGGGACTGGCCGTGGTCGGGATGCTGCCGGCCCGCAGGGTATGGGGATGGGGCTCCCGCGCTGTGGATCTGGTGTCCGACTCAGAGAAGCGGGGCCGGGACGGACGGGCCGGAGAAGGCGCCGGCCCAACTGCGCGCAGCCGGCGCCCGTACAAAGGGCCGCTCGGTCCCGCGGGAGGAAAGTGCGGGCGGCCGCAGAGGCGCCGGGCGGCCGGCGAAAGGAGGGCGGAGCGCCGGCCCGGCCGCCGACAGGAGTTGAGCAGGTGGGCGGCCGCTCGGGGGCGGGGGGAGGGCCCGCAGTGCCCCCGCTGCGGAGAAGTTGCCGGCCTGGCCGGTGGCACCGGCGGCAGGGGAGACCTACCTTTGGCCGCTGCCGCCGTGGCCCCGGCACTGCCCGCTCAGCCTGGCAGGGGCAGGCTCGCCCGCACACCGGCCGCCCGCAGCCGCCAGCTGCTCCGGGAATGCAGCAAACGGAGCGGGAGCCCTTGGGGTGGGGAGGGCGAGAGGAGCTGCGG